ATATATATCACAATGTCACCAGGAGACCGAGGCCCTGTACAGGCTCTTGGTAAATGCATTGAGGAAATCAATGACTGGTTGTGCCACAATTTTCTCCAACTAAACAAAAACAAAACTGAGGTAATAGTCTTTGGCGCCAAAGAAAAACGATTACAGGTCACCAGAGAACTTCAATCTATACATCTAAAAACCACAAACCAGGCGAGAAATTTGGGTGTAGTGATGATGCAGACCTAAACTTAGACCTAAACACATTAAGACAATAACAAAATCAGCTTACTATCACCTCAAGAATATTTCAAGGATAAAAGATCTGATGTCTCAACAGGACCTGGAAAAACTAGTCCATGCATTCATCTTTAGTAGGCTTGATTACTGTAACAGCATCTTTACAGGTCTACCTAAAAAATCAGTCAGACAACTACAGCTCATTCAGAACTCTGCTGCTCGAGTCCTCACTAAGACCAAAAAAGTGGACCACATCAGTCCAGCTCTGAGGTCTTTACACTGGCTGCCTGTCCGTCAGAGGATAGACTTTAAAGTTCTGATGCTGGCCTATAAAGCTCTGAATGGTTTAGGACCAAAATACATCAGTGACCTCCTGACCCAGTATGAACCTTCCAGATCCCTCAGGTCATCTGGATCTGGTCTTTTATCAGTTCCCAGAGTCAGAACCAGACACGGAGAAGCTGCATTCAGCTTTTATGCTCCTTATATCTGGAACAAACTCCCAGAAAGCCTCAGATCAGCTGAAACAGGTTGAAGACTCACCTGTTCTCAGCTGCATTTGAATAAAGCACCAAATCCACACTTTTAAGCTTAAATTTCAAAACTTACATTTAACTACTGATCTTATCTATTTCTGATTTTATCTGTTTTGATTTTATATACTGTTTTGTTTGTTTGTTAAGCTTAAATTTCAAAACTTACATTAACTACTGATTTTATCTACTGTTCTGATTTTATCTGTTTTGATTTTACATACTGTTTTGTTTGTTTGTTTGTTTGTTTGTTTGTTTGTTTGTTTGTTTGTTAAGTGGGTTTAGAGCTCTGGGTAGCTCCCCAGCTGGGTCTAGACTGGGTCTAGAGAGTATTTTAAATTCAGGGAATTTAAAATAGAAAGTAGCTCGTCCACAGAAGGACTGGTAGCTCCCCTTACGATAAGGGTTCAGATCGCACGAACAGGTGTGAAATGTGTGTGTTTAGTTAGTTTGTTTGTTTGCTTGTTTTAATCAATTTTAAATCATGCTTTTTATTTGTTTTTGTTTCTAATGTCTCTGTAAAGCACTTTGAATCACCTTGTTGTTGAATTGTGCTATACAAATAAATTTGCCTTTGCCTTGCCTTGAAATTAGAGGTAACATTTTTCTAATAATGGGCATCTCTTGAAGTGTTTACGGCATGAATTTGGAGCAAGGAGAGACAGTGCTGCATAATATCTTTGGACAATTTACCCCAGTATGCATCAGTTTGTTTACATGTGACCTGGTAATGAAATTTAAGTCAGAGCACTCATGTCAAAGTGTATCATATTGTAAGGAGAAGGGCACACGAGGTCTGAGAACCAGGAAATGAGGTTTGTTAGGAGGGTAGCGGGAGGCTCATTAGTTAGGGTAGGTTGTCCAATAATCAGAAACTGACTGAGGCGCAGCAGAGTGGACGTTCGTGAGAGGCAGAGGTGATAAACTTTGACCTACTTTTACATTAATTATTTAAAATGTCTTTCTTATGTTTTTGTAGCCAGCAGTGAGGTCAGCTTTAAAATGTAGGCAATCAGCTGTTCAATCTGTTTCACAGTGAGCGCGTTTTATACCGTCTAATACCACACGTTACCCCAAATTCATTTTTGCTTTTCATATTGTTATGAAATCTTAGGCAAGGAAATAGTTGTTCGAAGTTTTTTTTGTACGCTTTATTAGTTTACTCAAATGTGCATTTTAACTTTAAGATCTAAATAATAAAACCCATAAATATTAATCTTAAATACTTGTTTTGTCTGCTCTTAAAATTAGAAGAAATAGATGAAAATGAACGTGACTTATTCAAGAAATTACGCTTTTGCCATTACTGCTGTTAAAGTGACCCCTCCTGATGGTTCTAGTGTAAAGCTACAATCATTATTATTACAGTAATTATATTTTATGATAACTCTAGCACATATACGTTGAGTTAGGGAAACTCTAAAGAAGGAGGAAAAAAGGCATGTTGTCCGCTTATGGTCACTGATTAAATGTATTCATTATTAATTAAGGTTTGGAGCTCTCTTTAGAGATATATTATCCTCTCTTGATAATGTAAACGTGTACTAAACTTCCAAATGTGTCTGTTTGCACCTACACAGTTCATCTGTTTCAGCTGTTTGCAATATGGCGGGTGGATAGTGCTAAGTTAGCTGAATGCTACGTTAACCATGTGCCTCACCATTGCTGCACTTGATGATGCGTTTTGCTTCTTGTTGCTGGTTACTCTAAGTGTCTCTCTCACACACCCACGTGCACACACTCCTAAATGCCCACTGGAGTTACACTGAACAATGCAATATGTTAAAATTGTTAAGCCCCGCCCCCACGTCCTCCGCCTGTCATGTCAGGCTGCAGGTGTATGCCTGACTGTCGCTTACACCCACGCACATATATAAATACTGACACAACCTCCAGAGCCAGAGAACAGCTGTGTGTCCTGCCCCTTCATTTTTAATGAAAGTTGAGAGTTTTCCTCATTCTGCACCAAATCACTCTTGACCTCTTATAAACGGTCGATATTGGTCGCACATGTGAATGTAACAAACCTGTTTCATTCAGCGTTGATTGTTTTGCTTTTTTCTCATCTGCATATATTTGCAGAAGCGTGGCACAAAATACGGAGAGTGAACGTCTTCAGGACCTAAAGCAACCAACCTCCACATTTTACACAGCCCTGAATATCAAAGAAAGAACTCAATTCACACCCCATAATTTAACTTTTCTTCCACAAACTGCTTTTGTGATAACCAAGGCACACTTTGCATTTGATGTACTCGAGTAGCAAAACAAAGAAGGAGGAGTAACATCTCTATTCCTCAACCGGTTTTAACAAAATGTTTGCAAAAGAACAGGCGCTGAATATTTTCCAATATACACATCCATTCGTGGCGCAGCTGCAGGGGAGGCTGACACACCGGAGCTCCATCAGCTCATCACGCCTCCCCTGTATAGAACGTGCTGGGACCTGAGGTTGGGGTTGTTGTTGTTGTGTGTGGGACACAGCTGAAAAGCTGCGGCCGTCTGTTAGAGAACAGCAACCGGAATAAAAAGTGTTAAACGTGTGAACTATGTAGTCGGGTCTGTCATTCATGCCACAGTGGTGCCGAAACCCAGGAGACGGCATGGCGGAACCACAACTGGGCCAGTAGTGGAGGCGCTGGCCCGAATGGTGGGCGAGTTCGCAGCCATGCAGAGGGAGCAGGTGGCCAGGCGGAACAGCTGCAGGACCGGTCCGAGCGTGGGATGCAGCTGATAATGAATCTGGCAGCTTGATTCGGTTCCTGGCTGACCCCCACGTGTTCATGGAGGTCAGCGCGCGGGAGGGACCTGCCCAGGCTGAGTCGGAGGTCAGTATGCCGTCTGGACTTGCTCATAACAAGCCGGAGGTCCGCACCCCGAAGCGACCTGCCCAGAAAGAGTCGGGGATCAGAGTGCGGGAGGAACTGTTCTGCCAGAGCTGGTGGACAGCGTGCGGGGAGGAACTGTTCTGCCTGACTCGGAGGTCGCCATGCCGTCCAGTCCAGAGGCGTCCTCACCAGAGGCCAGTACGCTGTCTTGACCTGCCTCAGTTCCGCCAGAGGTCAAGATGCTGTGTGGTCCTGTGTGGCTGTATGGTCGCCTGCCAAGCCGCCTGCGAGCCCCAGCTCGTCATGTCCACCGCTGGACCCGCGGTCGGCCCCCGGACCCAGCTCGTCACCGTCGCTGGTGATGAGGTGGGCCCCCTGGTCAGGTCCGTCATTCATGCCACAAGGACATTTGAGAAAAATTAGAACTTTTATTGCGGCTAGTTTCTTAAACCACTTCATAAGATTGTTTGAGGGTTAAGAGTTTCTTCTGAGCTAAGATTATTTTAAGGGGCTCATCTTGTACCCAGAAATATAGCCAAGCAAACATTTTTGTGTGCGTGCAAATGTAAATAATCAAGAGAAATACAACTGAACTATATGTGTGGACCACTCCAAAGACGTGCATGCTTTCCTTCCTTCCCTCTCCATGGGAAACCTGCCTCTGCAATCACCATGGCGATTCCTACTCAACAGGATGACAGTTTTGCTTTGACGTGAAGAGGAGATATGCAGTAAGCACACACACACACACACAGGTTGCCAGGTTCTTGACAATGTTCCCTGTTATTTCTCCCCTTAACAACGCTCTTTGCAGATCTAAAGGCTCATCGAGGCTTCAAATGAACAAGCTAATTGGATTAAAGAGACTCAATTGAGAGAAAGCCAAGTGGGCTTTCTCATGAGAGAGAAAATATGTAAATAAGAGGAGGCCACTAGAGCAGCATTGTGGACAAGAGTGATAAAGAACCACAACAAGACTGAATTAGCTGCTTACAAATACAATAACGATAACACGAGGACGAATAAAAACAATGCAGGTTTATTTGTTAATGTGACAGCGGTAATCAATAAGCCACTGTGGCTGTCAATAATCAACAATGTATTTAAAAAATTAGCAAATTAGCCCAGGGAAATATAATGTGAAGAGACAAAGATTTGCTCTCGCTCATCTAGTTTGAAGAGTCAAAATTTCAAGCTAAATATGTCATTTCTCCATTTCTCTCTGATAAAAACATCTTTATGGTGTTTTTGTGAATCTGGGCTGATGCCACTATCATCAGGCCTGACTAAAATTTGCAGACTGTGGATATAACTCTGCTAGTGCACCTGCAGTTCATGCGACTTTTGATCAGATACTCATTGAGATGTCTGCACACCTTTTTCTGCTACAGCTATCTGAGCTCCTACTCACCCAAGAGGTTTTTCCAAGCGACTGCCCAACGATCCGACTATCTCTCCCAGAGTACAGTGGGCTTGGCCGAGAAAGTCCTGCAGAGTCAAGGAGAAAGAAGTGAGCCGACACATGTTTTTTGTCAATCAGACATTGCATTACTCCCAAACCTGACCTGCTGATCAATACAGAGTCCACCCCCAAAGGCCCAAGTCTTTTCAAATACCACTACCTTCACCTTTGATAGATCATATTAGCAAGAAGAAACTGAGCCTTCCTCCCACCAGCCCTCACACCTGCCCCAGTGTGCTCCTCCACTTCCTTGGGAAATTAAACTGCCTTCACATATTGAAGCTTTAGAGCTGATGCTGAGAGAGCCAGAGACGTGAGTGCACCCGCCGCATCCTAGAAACCTCATGGATTTAAAACAATGATAAGTTGCTTTTCAGTGTCAAAAATGACCAGCCTTCAGAAAACATGACACCCATAAAACCCTAATTTCTCCCATATAAATATATTTAAATAAGGATTATAGAAACATGCCTTCTTCATGGGTCTTTAACTGGGGGTTAGATCATTTGTCTTTGTTAGATAGTATCTCTAATATTTGACCAGAGCAGCTCCAAGCACCACTAACATATCGGATTCTCTTTGGTCCATTGATTAGCCTCTCAGCTTTATCTCTTCCCATCTATCTCATCACAATTACATTCCTGCAGCCACACAGTGTCAGCCTGCTATGAACATATTTGTTTTGGTGGAAACGTGTGCCGAAATTAGACCAAAATAATAATGATGATAATAATTTCCATCCACCATGTAGAGGTGAACCCGTAAATCCACAAATTACCTAGCAACTGTGTCTGCTGCCTACATGAGGTCCATCTGAGAACTGGCTATATGCAACTAATGGCTAAATATATAACAGCATGAGCAAGAAAAATATTTAATGAGAAAAATAGCTGTGTGGGTGTAGCACCTTTCAGCACTTTTACAGAAAGAAATGAACTATTTTATGAGATCCAAAGAACGAGGGAATGTGAGCAGATGAATCTAAATCTACATCTTCAAAAGGATTATAATCATTTTGGGGGGTATCTCATAGCTTTTTAAAGCTCATATATACAATTTGACAAGACTGTGTTATGACCAGTTTTATCACCTGCAGTCTTGGAAGATAACTAGAGGGAATTCACTATTAGCTATTTAATTCTGGAAGTTTCCTGATGTTTAAAAGCTTTAGGCTTGAAACTCTGTTGACTTATAGGCTCAACTGTCACTGTGGGCTTTCATGTTTCTTGATTTCTTATCGATACACAATCGGTGGTTTTACAATAAAAAACAACGCATGTTTATATAAAAAAAACATAGGAAAGAGGAAACATACCATAATAGCTAATTTCAGGCAGTAAGCCAGTAAAATACTATGTTAGATAATAATTAGCAATTACTAAACTCAAGAAAACAGCTCAAAACAAATGAGAAGGGGATGTTTTGCTGATGGATCATTGCACAGAGAAATCTGCCTCTGTCCTGACAAAGAAGGAATCACAGCTAAAAGATCTTGTTTAAAAGAAGGACACATATGCTTTTCCATCTGGTGATGTGAAGCTTGAAATTCTTTACCTGCAGTTTATATTTAAACTATTTATTGTAAATGATCAGAAAGCAGATTACAGCAATGAAGAGTACCAGTGCTTGTTTCTGCTAGTACCACATTGCAGATGTGGTACTAGTGCAGTTTTACTATTGAAACATCTGAAACCTGGCTATTTGTTATGATTTTTAAACCAAAGCCTAAATATTAAATATATTTCTTTTAGCCCAGACATTTTTAGTAGCTACCTCTTACATTAAAAAAAGCCAATCAAAAAGCACACGATGTGAATATACTGCACTTACTGTACAAAAGACACCCTATTTTTCAGGGAACATGTTTCAAATTTGGTTAATGTCATATGGAACGACCCAGATATATGGATAAAAACTGAACTGGACACACCAACATTGAGTGTTTTATTTTCATCCTTACTCTTTCTGCTTTTCCTTCTATATGCCACACTAGTTCTCACCCAGGTCCCAGCTGAGTCCGCAGCCTACAGCTCCCAATGTTAAAACACCATCTAATGGGTTAACTCCCCGGCTTCCCCCATAGGAGCCACACCAAGGCTGCTGTCTCTGCCTGTATGAGATTATTGATTTCAAACGAGTGAGCCAAGGGGGAGCAAATCCAGAGCACGGAGGGAAAAGAGAAGAGTGAGAGAACAAGGGTATGGCAATGAAAGAGGATAAAAAGAGGAAAAGAAAAAAGAAACAGCTAGGGGCATCACAAGAGGAAATGATTGCATCCAGAGAGACATCAAACCCAATAAAATAAGAAAAGAAATATCCTGAAGGGAAATATTAAGAGACTAAACCTGCATTGGAGACTGTGTTTTGCACTGTAGCACCCAATTTATCTCCTTTTATTTCATACACTTGTCATATAAACGCCAGCAGTACATTTGCAGTCTTTATAAATGTGAGCAATCAATTTTAGAAACGATGTTCGGCAAAACAGTAAGTGATAAGGTAAAGTATATGGTTTTGGGGTTTTTTTTAAAGGTCAAAACATAAAACACGATTACTGTGGCTCTGCATTAAAATCAGTGTGACTGTTGTACTTCCATTTGCGCCTATTTAGCCGGAGGCCACATAATGATAACGCACAGCAGTCAACAGGTGCATGGGGCCTTAGTGAAGGTGAAATATAAGCCTGGCTACAATGCCTCCACAAAGGTTCCAATTACAGCTATTATATTTACTTGTATTGGCTTATAACTGGGCTGAAGAAATACCATAAAAGAGGAAAATAGATCATTTTGACAACAGTGTTGCTAGAGGGAGAAAGCAGTCCACGTGTCCTCAGGCATTTGTTATTCTTAATCAAATAGAACAGAGGACATGTTGGCATTTAGATGGAGTTTAGTACACAATGCTCCATTTGAAGTGTACAAAAATGCTACCATTATTTCTTCTTGTTTTTTTACATCACCATAAAGGGTATGTGTCTGTAATATGCTACGCAGGCAGACTTGTTGAGCTGGATACTAAACGCCATGCAATGATAAGAACTAATGGCTCCAGTGTTTCACCTTGGGGAAAAGCAGCATTGGCTGTTTGCAGCTGTGCTCAGAGGTAGACGTTGACACAAAAGTCAAGTGAGTGAAGGTTGAAAAGCAAACACACTTTCCAAAAAGTACAGTCTGAAACAAAAGAGTCGTTTAGAGTGTGTAAGACTGTGGTCTGCTTTCACCTGCTGCTTGGTTACAGTTGGAGAAAACAAATATTTGGTTAAATCGAAGTAAAGACTTTGGATAACCTTTTATAAACTTTACAACATGAGATCTACTTTTAAAATGCTCAACTATTCTACATTACTGGACTGACGAGTTCCTAATATAAAGTTCAGTTAAAAACTATCCCCCTCCTTCTTGATTTCTTAGATTTTTTTTCATGTTTGTCACACTTAAATGTTTCAGATCATCAAACAAATTTAAATATCAGAAAAGGATCATAACAGAAAATACGAAATTGTTTTTTTTTTTTATTATTATTTTATTTATTATGAGAAGAAAACAATTCCAACTTACCTGGCCATATGTGAAAGACTAATTACGCCCTAAACCTGATAACAGGTTGTGCCACCCACCCCAGCAAGGAATGCAATCAAGCGTTAACTGTCAGTGAGTTGGAGAAATTGTGGTCTACTCTTCCGTTCAGTCGAGTTGGAGAGTTTGAGCGGGGAACTCAAGGGTTAGAACAGGTAACCCACTGATCAGAAGGTTGGTGGTTCAATCCCTGGCTGCTCCATCTGCATGCCAAATATCCTTGGGCAAGATACTGAACTCCATGCCACTCACCGATGCAACCATAGGAGCGTGAATGTTAGAAAGCACTTAAGCATAGAAAAAAAGTGCTTGTATAAAATGGATGAAGGAGCTAAGGTGTATAAAGCACTTTGAGTGCTCAGGTAGAGTAGAAAAGTGCTATTTAAGAACCAGTTCATTTACTCCTTTGAGTCATTCAGAGGTGGACTTGGTCTATTTTGGATCATTGTCTTGCAGCATAACCCAAATGTGCTTCATCGAATCTGTTCTGAAACATGCAAGTGTGACAAACACAGCAACGTGTGTTATGGACACTGAGTGAAAAAGGAGAAAAGACAGCTGTGTAAAAACGATATCCACTCTGTCATCCTCAGCTACTCTTTTTATTGCCGTCCATCATTTTCACTGCTGCTGTGACTTTCTGCGACTTGGATAGTCAGGCTCACGTCATTGTCCTGTTACTAGAGCAACCACCATGCTCAAACGTGTCTAAGATATCACCATAAAGCTGATGTTATAAGTACAGGTGTGTGCAAGCAAGATTACACTGAAACCCAAGCCACTGAGATATATACACACACAGTGAATCTCACTAAATGGATCAAAGTGATGCATGTAAACAGCTGTTTCCTAAATCACTTGTTAAAGCGCAGACTGATAATATCACTCATGTAGAGAAAAGACAGTTAACAACAAACCGCGGTGGACATATTTTAAAAAGAGACTAAAAAGAGCAGACATGAAAGAATATATAGATTCTGCAAATCAGCATGCTGCATCAATTCAATTCAATTCAATTTTATTTATATAGGACTAAATCACAATAAGTCACCTCAAGGCGCTTTATATTTTAAGGTAGACCCTACAATAATACATACAGAGAAAAACCCAACAATCATATGACCCCCTATGAGCAAACACTTTGGTGACAGTGGGAAGGAAAAACTCCCTTTTAACAGGAAGAACCCTCCGACAGAAAAAAAAATGTGCACACACACACATCTGAATACGCGAATATCAAGATTTTTAATGCCAATTCTCTTGTCACCTTATATTCTTATTTATAGACTTTGGTCCATGTAGACAGCCATCTCTTAAAACCTTTGATGTTTTTGTGTTTTTTTGTTATGCATTCAACTGTCACTTTCCTGGGCACACCTGTTCAACTGCTACTTAAGGTAAAGATGTAATCAGCAGAAATTCAATGCATTTAGATGTGTAGACTTGGTCAAAGTAAACATATGAAGGGGGAATACAGATGATTTAAGTGACTTTAAAAGTTGCACAGTAGTTGGTTCCAGATGTGAGTGTTTCAGAAACATTGCCTGGTCTGATGAGTCTTGTTATCTGTTGTGAGTTTTACATGGCAGGCTCAAAATCTGGCATAAACAACATGAAAGCATGGCTCCATCCTGCCCTGTATAAACAGTTCATCCTGTGCTTGTGATATAATGGTGTGGGGGATATTTTTCTGGCACCCTGTGAACCCCTTAGTATTTACCGAGCACCATTTCAACTCCATAGCCTGAGTACCGTTGCTGACCTTGGCCATCCAGCAACACTTATGACCACAGCGTACCAATTTTCTGATGGCTGCTACCAGCAGGATAATACACCATATCACAAAGCTCAGATTACCTCAAACTGGTTTATTGAACATTACAATAAGTACATTGTACTCAAATGGCCTCTACAGTCATCAGATCTCAATCCAATAGAGCACCTTGGGGATGTGGTGAAATGGGAGATTTGCATTATGGATCTGCAGCAACAGTGTGATGCTGTTATGTCAATATGGAATAAAATCTGTGAGGAATTGTTTAATTTATGCCACTAAGAATTAAAGCTCCATGTCCGAGCAAGCTGTACCTAACATAAGGGCTACATTTGTTCGGCATAAAGATATATTCAGACCAAACGAAGTTGAAATTGAATCATACAACTCTAGCTGACAATTTCATGAATTCTAAATACATTCGATTTGCACTGACACACATTTGCCTTTATTTATTATTTATTCAAGTGTGTCCTGAACACACCACAAGTCAGCAGACTAATGACCGGAGTACTCTTATGTGGTTGGAAAGAGTCTAATGACAGGTAATGATATGGTCAGCATTTACGTTCACAAAAACACAAAACAATACACAAGCACTCACGTGTTTCGACAGGTTGGCACTCTTCGAATCGACATCATACCTGCAGAAAAAAACAAAAACACACTGTGAATGCATTAGAGAGTGATGGAGGGTGACAGGAGCTCGGCTGGGAACACAAAAGGGATTACAGAGAGGGTAAATCAGTAATGGGGTTAAGCATCTTGTCACGCAGAATCTCAGCGGAGGCTCTGGGAATTCACTTCCCAACATTGCAGGATCACAGTCATCCTCTATTAAAATGACACTAAATGGACTAATTGGCAGTCACAAGTATATCTGCGAGGCCATACGTGTGAACGACTGAAACAGAAACGATGAACTATGAACTACTGACTTGCTAGGTGAAGAAGTCTGTCCTCGTTTGTTTTCATCTATTTTCATTACTGTCACACACGTCTGAACAGTACTCACAACTCTCAATCCTCAGTTTCACCTGGCAACCTCTTAAACACACAATATTTGCAGCGAGACAAACTTCTCCAGAAATAGCCCCTCCAGCTCTGAAGAATGGGAGGCAATCAGGCGACCCATTCACTCAGCAATCTGAGGTCATTTCACAGCTCAGGTCATTTCACCCACCACTAAATATGGATTGGCCTCTGCTGGGTAATACAGTGGGGGAGAAATGCTAGGCAATTTTGTTACCTCACATGGATGTTAAAGGTGATGTACAGTATATTCTGTGTGTGGCAGGATTCTCCTTTAATCCAAATCCAAGCATAACCAATATTTAAAATGTCCCATTTCAACTCAGTGGGACATGTGACGTGCTTTATCTTTTTATCTTTTTAGCTGTTTAGAATGATATCGGTATATGCCTCAGCTTAGGGAAGTGTAAAATTAAAGACATATATCAGTGCACTATACTTCACAGTGAGCCCTGTGGAACACAATGCACTATCATAATTCATAGTGAGAGGACATACTGTAGTATTTCATAACCTCTGCTCCGTAACTGTTTTGTTTTCATAGAGATCTCACTGCCATAAGCCTGAGGGAGTAAACATTCTTCAATCTGGTATCATCTCAGACAGCGTTACCCTTTGCAGGCCAGCAGGACCAGCGACATACAGTCGTTGATGAGAGAAGCAGCAAGGCTGCACGCACACATCCGGATACTGTAGACACTGTAGCTTTTGAGGTTTAAACCTGTACTATTTCTAATGGCCAGCTGAGGTCAACTTCTGTAGTTGGAACGTCTCATTATATAAAAGGCTTTTTGGGAAAAGATTTCACATTACTCAAATTTCTTTGTTCCCAAAGATTGTTTCTTGGTGTAAGACTGCAGTGTCCCTCAGACCAAAACCAAATCACATCAAGGCGGCGACAGTGAAGACCCTCGAGACTTCAAGGCATGACTTTCACTCAATGGGAGCCATCACGGTGGCTATCTTTTATATGCAGTCTATGATAGACACATTCACCAAAAGCGCCACACATAGGAGTCTCACACACGGATGCACACGCTGAATGTTACTGAAAATGGCACATAACCTACTCACAGACCCACAAAAAGCCTGTTTGTTTTTTCCCTCAGATGTCCAGTTCCATTCAGAAAACCACTCAAGAGACACAGAGTTATGCATTCATTCATTTATAATCACATAACCAATGAGCAGACATAGACGCAACACGCAAACACACAGATGTCCTTACATGTCCCCATCTTTCTATGAGATGTCATTCTTCCAATAGATTTAAACTTGCTCACCTGATATTGCAAATACAATGATAAGTGCTAATCCAAAACCTGCACACCTCTAATGTAAGAGAGCAACAGAAGACAGGCGGGGAAGCCACTAAAAACGTCCACATAGAGCCAATAGGGCATAAATTTAGCTTAAAGATCATTTGCTTAAGAAGCTTCGGTTGCAGTGACATAAGCGGTAAACATCGGAGTCTCTCCCATCATTCAGCTCATCTTCATTTCATCTGAAATACTACAACACTCATAAGCAAATAACAGTTCAATAACTGAGCCCCACAAAGTCGGTAAAACACAGAAAGTAACTTGTTTGTGTACATGTGAAAATGTACACCGGGCTGTAACATGGTGTGGAACACAAGTGGAGCAGCCGGACTAGATATGAAAGGTTAAATCTGTCTATTCCTATATCACACCCACCATCCCCCAGAAACCCTGGTTGTTATGGCTACCTGCTAAACTTCACACAAACTCACAAACACATGCACCCAGACACGCACATTGTCACCATGGTCACGCATGTGGCAATGCACACACAAATTGCACGCATCAATTTGGGTTTTGTCTCTCCACCACAAGACCCTGCGACACACCTCCTGTACATATGAGCTCAACACATTACTCCTGGCTTAACGTGCAGTCTTAGTCAAGAGCAGATATGAAATAGAGACCACATTTGTTTGGGTTACAAAGTCACATTTGACGTCTTTGTGTGTGTCTACCTTGTTCTTTCCCTCGTTTTGCTATCTATCATGAATCGACTAACATCGACGCAGACACACTAGCTCCTCTTCACGGGAGAACTTTGAGATCCCGGTGGTGCTGTCGCCATGGCTCCCTGCTTTATAGATTAGAATATAAATAATAAAGCCACTGAAAGCCCCATAATTCAGTAACAAATGTGACCTGAGAGCCACATGAGATGGAGAATCCCCTCACCTAATCTAAGACCCTACAGATAGAATCTTTTGCCTCCATGGAAAGAAGTATGAGACAGCTGTGCTCATAGCACATGACTCAGTCATCAGGACATCACCAGCAGAAGAGAATCAGAGCTGTGTACTAGTAATATATGAGACAAGACAGTCTAAATCCATGCATTAGATACAGTATATAAAGACTGCAAACTATGGGCAACCGTGGTAATCTGCTAGGAACCAAAGCAATCACAAGGAGGCTTCTGGTGCAACACCCACCCACCTTTCACAGGAGGTGTTGCTGCTGCTCCGACCTCCTACTTTCTTTGCTTAAGCATGGAGAAGCCTCAGAACCATAGAGATGGAAATAACAATCATCTTTGTGACTATGGTAAAAACAGCCACATTTACCACTTAGAATTTTTCATTTCAATACCTCTCAAAGCTTTCATGAAAGCCAAACCGATATTCAGTGAACTATAACATCATCTATATCCAGAGTCTTAAATGCAAGTTTAGGAACTAGTCATGTCACAGTGATGCAGAAACACACACACGCACTTGTACATGTTACTTACAGGTCAAACCGGAGGTTCTGTCGCTCCTCAAAGAAGTAGTCCAGAATGAATTTCCGAACAAAGTCTGGGTTTAGCGTGTTGTCAATCACCTCTGTTCTGCCAAACTAGACAAAAAAAAGAAAAACAAAGATTAGGAGACAAACAGTTTGGAAATCATTCAACTTTTTACAGTCTACAAGTTTACAATCTATAATATGTGAGTATACATTTCTGCAACTCGCCACGCTTAAAAGCTCTAACCTTTCCCAAATCACAGCTTTTACCAGCACTTTATGACGCTGCAGTGACTCGTGTAAATATTGTATCCACCTGCAGGTTTTTCCTCAGGAGACACATTAGGCGAGAGGCTTGTTACAGAAGATTATGTACAGCTTTAGTGTAATGAATGCACCGCAGCTGAAGTATCAAGTCAAATGGGGTCAGTTGGGTTCCGATTTGGCATTTAACTCAGCCGGTTAATAATGCATGGAGATGACGGGCTACTCGGATCTATGAATAACTGCGAATGATTGGTGCTGAAAGAATTGCCCCCTGATTTGCATTCATGAATATTTACTGTAAAACGTATTGTTGATGGCGGCTCGATCGTAATGAAACGTGCATGCGTTCTCTTAATAAAGTGGTGGCTGTTGGTTATTTCTACTAACTCTCGAGCACTACTACATCACAAGCCTTTCAGTTTACACTGTAAATCTTCGCGTCATTTCCAGATACCTGAACTGTACAAAAGCAGGCAATTAAATCTCACAGCGTCATTAGCCTAGGCCTAATCAAGGAAACTACATTTGCACATTGAATCTCTTCCCTCACTGAATCACTAACATAACATGCCTCAAATCCCACAAACGCCGGATTGAAAACAGTTGTATTGTTGCACTTTGTGTATTATGCAACACTTTGGTATTGCATCCATGTCATAAACATTTTATAAAGTACTGTGAGCTGTATTTAGAGTGTATACAACACTTTAATATTTTCTACTTTCCTCGACAATATCCCGTAGCTACTTAGTATTTAAAAATACTTACAGGACATTATTTTACTTCTTTTGTCTGTTGGTCTTGCCGAAATATATACTGCACTAATATAGTAGTAGAGGCTAGGGTGCGTACACCAAACAAGTGTTAAATGTCACCTTTCTAACTTGTAAACCACAGCTGAAAGTAACCAAACCTTAAACACTGTGTATATAAGAATGGTTTTAATAGAGCTAGTCTTTTTATATTGAGGTGTGTTTTCGTTTTTTTGGCATAGGTAACGTACGTAGGCCCAGCCACCACTTGAGTCCAAATTGAAAAATCTCACCTGCTACTGGAAATGAAATTTTGTGCAGATGATTCATCGTGACCCTTTGACTTAATTAAAGTGTTACCAACAGGCTGATATTTGTGAAAAAGAAAGCAAACCCTTTTTCAATGCCAAGGTTTTATGACTCAGGATATGACAAAAAATGATTTGGTTTAGTTTAACATCCTCAGATGAACAACAACGCGTGGCAGATTATAGAGTATCGTTATTTATTTAACAGAAACAAAACTGAAATGTAGAAGCTGTGCGTGAAAAACACCGTGTTATGTGATAGCTTGTAGAAACACGTTTAGCAGCGATAACTTTAGATAACAATTTTCTGACTTTATCAGTCTCTTATCGTTATGGAGGAACTTTGGCCCACTCTTCTTTAAAACATCGCCTAAGATCACTGAGGTTTGTGGGTATCTGCTAATGCAAGGCTTTCAGTGCAACACCCTGATTCTTATCTATTTCAGCAATTCTGTTCTGGATTTACCGTCGTTGCTTGGAATCACTGTCCTGTTGCTTTAGCTGTCAGATGGTTGCACATCTGACTGTGGAATACTTTGGTGTACAGAGTTCATGGTTGGCTTGCTGACTGCAAGGAGCCCATGCCGTGTGGCTGCAAAGCAAGCAGTGGTTTGCACATTTGCTTGATAAGCAAAAGGTTGCTGGTTTAATTAAAACCAGAGTAGCAATTCTCCTTTAGGGGTTGTGCTAGGAAGGGCACCCGGTGTACAGACAGAGCTACCTGCTAAGGTGACCCCTTGTGATAAAGGAACAGATAAAAGTAACTTTTATTGTTATGAAATTTAACCGAGCGCTGTGGAGTCTGAGATGTCAGAGCATTACATGACTGGCCTTGTGGTGAAATTGTTGGGGCATCCATTCCTGGAAAGACTAATGAATAATCTTTCTCACTGTTTCTGACATGACTTGACCAATTTCAGCCAATTTCTAGCAACTATGCAAAAAGAACTCTGTTTTCTCCATAGTGTGTACATGGAAAGACAGCAGTGAAGTGGACAGAAGTTTAATAAAATGGAAGGAAATGTTTCAAACCCGGTTTGCACACACTCACCTCTCTCCACTCCCTGTTGCCCATGGCTTGTGTGTAGAGTACACATACTGTAAAAAGAGGCACATAAACAGTAGTTTTAATCATTAACTCCTTACTAACACTCACTTAGCAACTGCCCAGCCATTTTAGTCAGTGTCTACTTTATAATCATGTATAATATATAAGAAACGGGCAAGCAGTCTAAATAAATATTATTATATTGGTATTTACAACCAGCTTTTAACTATCTGACAGGTTGGCTGACTAACGGATGAATAGGAGAGCCTTACTTCATAAGACAGCAAGCAAATAAAATCAAAAAACAAATCAAATGTCATGGTATTTCATGGATCCATTAGAATATGACTGATAAGCCATAAATGCTTGAATTAGAAATATATATTAAACAAAGAAAAACATCAAAGCGTCTAATAGTGTCATTCACGAGTCACGAATATGTGCATTATATTCGCCGGCTTCAGATTGTGAAAGACATCATTTCGGGTGATTATGCAATTTCTCGAAACAAGAGAGTTCTCTAAAAAGCAAATTACGCAGCTCGCTCATCGTATACTTCATTCCTCAAGGCCTTTGATGTTCTTTGATGAGGATATGTACACATCCAAACACCCACGCAGACACATAAAATGTTGATTTTGCGTCTGACAGACAAACACTGGGGATACTTTTGGAGGGAACAGAGAGATTTAAACTTCGTTTGCCTGTATAGATCACTGCTCTTTCGATTTTTTAGGTATTTTTTTTTTACCACCGAGTGACATATCCAAGGTATCGTTCAGTTTTCAGGAACTTTGACATCCTGTTTTCCCGCTCTCCTTCACCTCCTTGCTCCTTCCTCCTGTCAGGCTGCTTCATATCAGGGGGCTAAAGTCAGTGAGCTCAGCATAATCACAGGAGCTACTCAGCATAAAAGCAGTACTAAATTTATGGTTAATGCCCATGCTTCCTGCTCCTAATCACTGTCATCTTCATCACTGTACTCATCACTGCCATCCCCATCACCTTGAGTCATTTTTCATCCATGCACGTGGGAATGTGCTGACATGCTCTGTTTTGCTTGCTGACTACGTGTGTGTGTATTAGTGGTTCATTACAATAGTCATCGCAATATCTTATTTTTATGATATGACAACAATCGCTGTTTCATTTTAGGGAGAAATCGATCTCACCCTACCCTCACTCCCAATGCACACGCACCCATACATGCACACTCCTCATGTGACTCATGCAAACAAATAATGTGAATAAATGTCTTTTAATTTTTGAATTTTTTCATCTCTAGTAATTTAAACAAATATTTTCCTGCTGCATTTTATTTTGAAAACTAGAAAAGCAACATTTCAGCGTCAAACTTCCAGCTTATGCGTGTAACACTGGCATCAGGTCGGTACTGCAGAACTGTAAAAATTTGGATTGGTGTATCCCTAGATAGTCCTCTTTGTAGCATTAAGAATAACTAAACAATGGAATATCAATATTTTCTTGGCGTGAGCTTAGTTTTCATATTGGACAGCAGGCAAGGTGTCACTGAAGTATGGCTGCTTGAAGTAAATATGCTGTGCCTTCTTAAAAAGAAACAAGATATTCAAGTACTTTTTTATGCAGTCCCTGCTTAAACTGTCTGCAGACACATTTGTCAAGCCAGCGCTGAAGCCCTCCTTCAACTTTATGCAGTAGCCCTGACAGTGTTATTACATTTATTTTAGCTGTGGGAAGAGGAGCGTGAGAATTGCCGCCCATTCTGTGAATCTATAGGGAGAAGCTTTCAAGCTCTCAGGCTTTGTGTATTAGTCAGCCGTGCCTCAAGCCAAGACAACATATTTAGTGAGAAAATACTCAAACACAGATTGAGTCACAGCAAAAGAAATGCGCTTCGTTCATCTCCAAATTAATTGCTTATTTCATTTCCTTACAGCGCTCCCATAGCCCTTATTTTTCCCAAGTTTTTTCTCATGTATTCCTAACACTGTTCTTTTTGTTTCCTTTCTTTATGCAAATCAAATGAAAAGTTTACAGACACATCATGGAAATCATCAAGGAATCCCCTTTGTTTCCTCTTTATATTTCACTGACGCAGTGAAAAATATAAAACTAACTAAAACGTGGTCTTAGTGAGCGATAGAGAGATGTCGTCTTACTTGGGTCTGATTTGGAGAAGGTGTCCCTATCCAGCAGGTTTCTGTGGAGACACAATATGGAAAATAATTAGAAACACAGTTGCCTTGGAAAATGAATCCACGCTAACACACTGACTATTTATGTTCCCGGCTTCACATTGTGTTTACAGTAAACCTGCGAAGCGTCCTGATGAGGTGCAGGAGTACAAAAAATATAACATCCAAAGTGCTGTGTAACCACATTAGACACCATGCTGCTTATATTCACAGTTAACATATACAGTACAGACAAAGATAACCCGAGTAATTACAAAATGCAGCTTTTGAATGATGATTTTATTTGTTAAGGGAAAACAATATCCAAAGCTACTTTGCACTGTGAGGAAAAGTAACTGCTCCCTAAACCTAATAACAAGAACTGCAATCAGCCGTTTGCAGTAACTGGCAATGAGTCTTTTGCTTAGCTTTGGAGAAATTTTGAACCACTCTTCTTTGCAGAATTGTTTTAATTCAGCCACACTGGAGGGTTCCTGAGCATGAATGGCCTGTTTATGGTTATACCAAAGCATCTCAATCGGATCAAGTCTTCGTTTTGCTTTTTGAGACATTGAGAGGATCTGCTGGTCTGCTTTGGATCATTGTCCCCGCTGCATAACCCAAGTGCGCACGAGCTTCAGAGCATGAACTGATGATCGGCCATACTCCTTCAGGATTTTCTGCAAGTCGTCCTGAAGCAGCCAAGCAGCCCCAGATCATCACACTACCACCACCATGTTTGACCGATGCTTTGATGTACTTTGTATGAAATGCTGTGTTAGTTTCATGTCAGATTTAACAAGATACAAACCTTCCAAAAAGTTCAACTTATTCTCATCGATCCACAAACTGACTCCACATTTTTCAAAAAGTCTTCAGGATCAACATTTTTTCTTGTCAGATGTGAGGCGAGCCTTTATGTTCTCTTTGGTCCACAGTGGTTTTTACTCCCATGGTCAAGTCTCTTGCTTATTGTTGAATCATGAACTCTGACCTTAACTGAGACAACTGAGGCCTGCAAATCTTTAAATATTGTTCTGGGTTCTTCTGTGACTTCCTGGATAAGTTGTTGTACCTGCACTCTTGGAGTAATTTTGGTACTCTAGGCTGGCCGATCCTCGAAAGCTTCACGACTCTTCCAGATTTTCTTCCTTTGAGGATAATGGCTGTCTCCATGGTTCTCTGGGAGTCGCAACACTTTATTTAAGTGATTTCTTAATTTGCTAGCTCTGGCAGTAATCAGGCCTGGGTGTGGCTAGTGAAACTGTACTAAGTCTTCCCAAAAAAACATGCACGTATTATTATCCTCCACGTCAAATACCTGAAAACCTTTTGATGGTTACATCAACATTTAGAGAATAAATTCACAATAACAACACAACCGCTAGTTTATACAACTAATAATAGAAGTTCAAACTTTTAATGGGAATTCAGTCTTCATGGTGCTTCACTCCTTGCTTCAAAAACACCAAGTTTGAGCTAATCTTCTCAGTGATGACTCATTGTAGTGTGCAGCCCTCCAAACTTGTGTTTCAGCCAAGATGGGCATTAATACAACCATGAAGAATTTATGCTTCCCCCCCTCCAACAAAGAAAAAAGCTGAGATGATATAAAAACAGCATGACAGCTTATGATTACTTCTGATTTCTGAATAATAAGATCGAGGATGCTGAGGATAGTCACACCTGGAGAGGAGAGAAGAAGAGATCAGAGAGCAGAACACTAACAGGATCACTAACTTGTCACTTTGGTGAAATCAGCCTGAACAGAGCTCTGCATGAATAGAAATCTTCTTCCCAATCACTCTAATCCATGTGACATGCCCCGGCTGCACAAAGGGCATGAAAGATATGGATAATGTTTCCCATCATCCTTTCAATCCCAGGGCTTGTGGCAGACTTTTAAAGGTTCTAAGACAAAGCCCTGAAACCATCGACGGCTTAAGAGTATCAAGGCTTCGAGCCGCTTTCCAGTACCAGTGTTGCTGTCACAGTTTTGTTTCTTTCAGCTCACTTCTCTCTCTGTTTCTGTACTTACTTCCTCTCTGTCTTTCTTTCATGTGAACCTATCAACACAATCTATGACATGTTTCTCTCTGTCTCACTCTTGCATTTGCTCTAAAAGCAAAAAAACCCAACCTCTTGGTATCCCGGCGGTCCTTCCTGCTTGTTTGCTTCTCAGCTCACTCTGTCGCTCATTTGAAAATTGTAGCCTCACTTATGTCAGAGCATTTACTGCAAATGCAGCACACATAATGATTTGTTGTCACTCTGACGCGGTTATTTGAACTCGAGTATGTCAAATTAAAGGTTTCAGGTCAGATTTCTGTTTGAGTTTCCTCCCATAATCCACAGACACACAAATCATTTATATGTCTAATTGCTTGTTTTGTTGTCTGTCCATGGTGTGACTACACCGGCCTCAGTGACCATTTCTACACGACCACAACAATCCAGCTGAGATGTTTACAGGGCGGGAACAAGTCCACCCATAATCCAAGGTACAAAACACCTCCAGTTACAATGATTAACATAACAAGAAAATATTCTGTGGTCTGTTGCAGGTGAACACAAACTCTGTGTCTCTGATCAGCACGTCTGTCTATTACAAAAAGATATAAAAACCTGAGTCAGATATTTTTATGTCTCCACAAATGCCACCATTCAACACGGGATATTTTCAGCAACACAAAATCTGCTATTTGGCGGCATCTTTGTCGATACATGCCTAGACACCAGCCTAAATCTAGTTTGTCAGCTGAGCTGCACTAATTAGGCTAACCAACATTACTAGATCTCACATGTCAGAAAAATTATTTTTGCTAATGAATTGTGTGCTTTGAATTCTTCTTAGATCACTGAAAGTATTCTTGCTGATTGAAAACTAAAGTGTCAGTTTAATGGATTTTAATTGGGCTGCTTTTAACTGCATCAGTCAGCACATAAAATTGAGAATGATAAAAATGAGACTGTACTGTCAAATGACACAACAAGTGTATTGGTCATAGTGCCTTTTACAATAAAGTAAATAACTAAATAAGCATTACTGTTTTGATCTAGCTGGTAGGTGCTGTTGCTTAAAAACCTTAGAAATTGTCTGATTTTAGAAGACAGCAATGAAAAAACGTTATGTTTTTAACTGAAACAAGCAGTTGTTCTGTGTTTTACTGGGCTTCACATGAATAACTCACTCCTATTTAGTTATAATGAAAACATGCAACATGCACTGTAATCTATAAATCAATCCAACATTGATTAATTTTGGAGGAAATGTCAAATAGTGCAGCAATATAAATTCTCCTCAGGCCTGTTTGTGTTGTCGACAGTAAATAAAATCCAAGTACATTTATTTCCAAAGATTTTAAAGCAAATAAATTGGATGAACTGCAAGTAAAAAACTAAATGGACACTGTTTAAGTGCCCATTAATGCAAATATCTGATCAACCTAAGTTCAAACTCAGCATGACAATGGAGAAACAGGGTGATTTAAGTGACTTTAAATTAGGGCTGTGCAATATGACCAAAATCTCATATCCCGATAGAAGACATTTATCGTCCTGACAACAATATATATTAAAAAATGTAACATTTTCTGTAAATTCTGTGAATCTCGGGCAACTCGACTTGTTTGAAGTGTTTTCAGCTGGCGTCGTGTACCTGGAGTCAAGTGTTTTGACCGATGCATGAAACTATACATTTTTAGGCATAACTTGTAACGGCTACCGTTTTCTTTGTGAGTATTTATTACACGGCGTGCTGCGGGGAAAAGCCTGTTCTAACGTTTGAATCTAAGCTTTATTTGGAGCACCTGACAGCTCTTTTTTGCTTCTCATTAGTAAACTCTCTCCATACTCTTTTACGTGACTCTTGCATAGGTGATCCGTGTCAGACTTTTCATAACCAAAGCATGCCCATGCTACAGAGGTAGCCCCTCGTTTAGAAATAAGGTCCTCAATTTGTTTTGACTGGTCTTTCTGTTTGTCATCGTTTCAGTTTATTTTGAAAAATCTCAACAGGGTCTTCCGCTTTATTGTGAAAGGTTTATGTGGAAAATAAACAAGCGGACGGCGGAGCAGTGTTTACCGTCGTTGTAAAAACAGTCGCTTATCCATCAGTAGTTTGGTTATTTTAAATATAAGAGAAAGAAAGAAGTTTAAGAAATAAATATAGCTAATACAGTGACCATCAAAACAATGAAAAAAATATTGCTGTAAACGGTTTATTTTGCGACACCACAAAACAAACGATAGCGTAATATAAAACGATAGACGTTTTCATATAGTCATCCGATACATATCGTTATATCGAACAGCCATACTTTAAATGTGCAGTGACTGCTGGTGCCAAACAGCTCCAGCTACTCTCAGGATTTGACAAACCGCTGGGATTTTCCTAAACAAACACGTCTAGGTAGTGCTGGGCGAGATGACAATATATATCGTGTCGATGATAGAAAAGTGTCTATTGTGCCATTTGTCTTCTATCATTTCTATCATTTCTAACCTAATTTTATAAATTATTACATGATTAAAAAGCCTGTGGCAAATATATTAGTGTTGTCTTCTCACTATACATACTCTTAACTTTATGCAAGAGAAAATAAAGTATGAAAAAATGATATTTTTCGCAAAGAAACTCCGTCTTGTGGTTTTGCGACATGGTGCTGCTTTACGTGCACCCGGATTTGCGACATGCTTTACAGTAACTCAAAACGATGGACGTGCGACAGGTTGCAGTTTCATGCCCGGACATGCAACAGGCAGAGACAGCTACACAGGCAGCCCAAGAGGAAGCACTTTTACCGAAAAGAGGGGGTACATCTGTGATTTGGTTACATTTTGGGTTCAACAGCACCAACACGGAGCAGAAGACGCCCATTTGCAAGCTATACTATAAAACTATTCCTGCACCCGATGGCAACACAACAAATCTCTCCTATCACCTACAGAAGGTCCACGAAAAAGAATGCTCAAGAATCCAGAAAATCCGAGCTAAACCAAGTTGTGGAACGACAGGAGCAAGTTG